TCCCCTAAAATCTCAGCCAGGGAGCTGAGAGTGTGTCTTTTCAGACCTGGTCTTGGTTGGCGCCCTCCCCCATGGGAGCTGGGCCTACACTGGGACCTCACCCACTGCGGGTGGTGGAGGGTAGGGGCAGAGATGAGGGGGCCAGGTCCACTGCCAAGGCTCCGAGCCTGCACCCGGCTCCGGTCAGCCACATGGCTGAACTCACATTTGTGTGCATGGACGTCCCTCCAACACTGCTTCCAGGCTTGGGTTTCTCAGATTCTGGGAAGCAGGAGGGAGGCCTGGAGCCTGGTGGAACGTGGGTGGGGTCTGCTCGAACTGCGGGAGAGGCTGAAGTGCACTGTGGGCAAAAAGCCCCTGGCCTGACCTCCCACAGCTTCCCAGGCCAGAGCCCCTTCCCCCGCCCGAAGCTGGAATCCAGGCCACCCCGTTCCTGGATGGCCTGGCGGGCATCAGGCATGCCAGGAATGGGCCCAGCTGTCCGACTGCAGCTCCCTGGAGCCCCCTCCAGCTGTCGCAAGCTTCAGAGGAGGGGCGAGGATGGTGAGGCAGAGAGATTGCTGTGTGCTCTGGCCCACGCCCCTCCCCACCCACTGGGCGAGCACCATGCTCCCGGCTGCCCTGCTCGCCTTGGACAGCAGTCCAGGATCTGGCTCTGCTCCGCCACCCCGGTTGCTGTCACACTAACGCAGGCTAATTCCCTTGCCTGTTCTGGAGGAGACCAGGCACGTCTGCTGTGGGGCCGTCCAGTTCCGGGTACTTTCCCACATTGCCCCAGGGGTCTTCGCACCTTGTAAAGCCCCCAGGAGTGTGGCTGCGGCCCGTCTACCTCCCAGAGGCCACGTGGCTCACCAGGGCCCCAGAAACCCTTCCCTGAGCCCCTGCAGCCTCCACGTTACACAACGTGTGCCCTGTTGCGCCCAGCAGGGTCGTAGAAGTTGCTCCCTCGCCCTTTAGTCACCCGGGACGCATGTGGATCCCCTGCCCACCGTTCACAGGGCCGCAGGAGACGGAAGTCCCTTCCCACCTGGCCTCCCTGGCCACCAGCATCCCTACCCAGGGCAGGTGGGCATCCGGCCTTCCTCCCAGGCTCCAGGGAGACAGGCCCTGCCTTACAATTCTTTGTTCTGCTCCCACCCTGGGCTCATGCAGAGAAGCAGAGAGCCCTGTGGGCTGCCCCCAGGCCCCCAGGCAGGACGGACCCCTGCAGAGGGAAGGGGTAGCTGGCAGGCCTCTCCAGGGTTCAGGGACTTTCTCTCCATCACTTCTGAACAGAGTGGGTGTAGGGATACGCCCACCACGGGCCCCAGTGCCATCCCCCATGCAGAGCCTCCGAAGGTGGGGTGACCTCCCTGTGGGGTGCGAGTGAGGTCAGGGCTCTGTAGCACTGAAACCCCGCTGAGAGCCCTGTGCCTGCCTGGCGTCCCTCTTGGGGGTTCTGGGGCCGCCTGGGAGTTCTGTGTCAGTAGGGCTGGGGTAAGCTTGTGGCCTCCCTGTTTGCCGGCCCTGGTTGATTCTTCTGATGAGTCAAATTTGAAAGCCTGGGCCTGTCGCTCTGCCCCCCAAACAGGGAGGAGGTGAGATCACAGAGCCAAGGGGATCAGAACTTCCCTGAGGTCGGCGAGACCTCCAGAAGGAGGCCTTGTGGGAGGAGAGGAGGCGGCCAGCTGCTCAGGGTCAGATCTGGCCCTTGGCAGCCAGGGTCCAGGGCGGGAGACGCCGTCCCTGCCCTGCGGTGGGTCTGTGAGGGGCTCGCCACGCAGCCTGGCCCCACGAGCCCCATATGAGGGCGGAGCTGTCTGACTCGGCAGCTGTGGGGCGGGGGGCCGGGGCTGGGGGCCCTCAGGCTCTCAGGCTCTTGGCTGAGGGCAGGGCCAAGGGTGAGCGTGAGGGTGCCACCGAGCACGCAAGGAGGGACATGGGACCATGACCCGTTGGTTCTGGCCCAAGGAGGGCGGACAGGGAGGGCGGATCGCGTCTGTGAGCTCTTGTTGGCTCAGGGAGCCTTCATGTTTCTGCCCGCGAGCTGGGGTCTGCGAGCTGGCTTTGTCCACGTGGCACCCAGTGTCCTGAGATTTCCAGGCAGCTCCCAGGCACCCCCAGCCACCCACGTCTTCTGGGAGGGGGGTAGTGGGAGGACAGAGGACAAACAGGATTGTCCCCGAGAGCCGGAAGTTGGCAGCCACCCAGCCCAGCCTCCCCACCCACTGCCGCCTCTGATCTGGGCAAGGGGCCCCTGCCAAGGCTCTGTGGCTTCTGCTGACCCTGTGAACTCGGGCTGCAGAGAGTCTGGGACCCGGGACTCCCAGGCTCTGCCTCTGCCACACGGCCCTGTGCCAAGCTGGTGGGCGTCCTGGAGTGTCAGCCAAGGCGGCTGGCAGGGAGGGGGCAGCCGGGGCTCTGGTGGGCTGCAGGGGTGTAGGGGCTGGCCCGGAGGTGGGCAAGGCAGTGTGTCCCTTGTGTCCCTCCCAGAGCCTGAGGTTAAGGGGCATCTACAGACTGTCCTCCACCCCTCCCCAGGCCCAGCCCCACCACCCCCACCGAGGTCAGGGTGTTGTCACTGAGGGTCACAGAGGTGCTCCCCCTACGATGGGGTTTGGCCATGGCTGGCCTGCGCCCCTTGCTCTGCTGCTCTCTGGGGGCTGTGAGGGCCGAGAGGGGCTGAGCAGGGGACCGGGGCAGAGATGGCAGGGAAGGAGGGCAGGGGAGAATGCCAAGTTCAGGGCTACCCCGCGACGCCCAGGAGACAGACGCTGTCCGCACAAGCGCTGTGACAGTCAGGCATGTCCCAGCTTGGCGGGGCCTCCACGCTGACCTGGAAGTGCTGTGCTGGGGGACTTGGTGGGACGCCAGCTGCCTAGGCAGGCTCGGAGGTGGGCGTTGCCATCTGTCAGGCTGTGTGGAGGTTTAGGGCCTGGGGAACCACCACATCCTTTCTCCAAACCAGGCTTTCTACTACCTGGACTCCAGGCCCCGGGCATGGCAGGGGAGGTGGCAGGACGAGGGACTGGGGAGGTGATCTGGGGCCACCGGGGGAGGCCAGCTTTCGTTTAGGTGTTACTGCAAAGTGTCCGAGGCCCCACATGGCCGGCCCTGAGCACAGAGAACACCCAGGCTGCGGAGGAGGGTGCAGGGAAGAGGTTGCCCAGAACAGTGTCTCCTCCCTCCCCCTGCCCCCCCCCAAGCAGCCCCCACTCACCAGGCACCACTCCCTCCTTCTCTGAGGCCACCAGCGACCCCGCGCCAGGCTTGGCCTCTCCATGGACTGCGACTGCATGGAGTGGCAGTGAAAGCTGAGCCAGTGGCAGGATCAAGTGGCTGGGGGGCGGGTGGAGGGGTTGAGGAGGGGAAGAGCCGGAAGGGGGCTGGATGGGGGCAGCCAGCTCCCAGGGCCGATCCTGGAGCCCAGGGGGCCAGGAGAGGTTCTGGGCAGCAGTGTCTCCTCTGCCTTGGGTGGGGGATAGGGAGAGGGGGTGGGGGGTGGGTGGGCAGGGCAGGGGCAGCTGCACATGCAGACAGTGGGGTCCTGTTCGCCAGGAGGGTGCGTCACCCACCTTCTCCTGTAGCCAAACCAGCCAGGTCCCAGCAGTGCCCTCTGCCTGCTCTCAGCCCCGACAGCCAGGCTCTGTGCCCCTCTCCCTGAGAGCTGCACCAGCCTCAGCCCTTCTCGTGACTTGGGGAGCATAGAGGGCCCCCATACGTGCCCAGCCACCATGGGGCCTGAGCCCACACTTGGGCCAGCCGCTGCCCAACCCAGGAACCGGCTACAGAGACCGCGTACTTGAACCAGGGCCATCCCAGGAATCTCTGGGTGTTTGTTGGGGTGCTCCCAGCCCTGCCCTCGGTTTGGCAGGTGGGTTCCTTCTCTGGGCCTCAGTTTCCCCATTTTGCAGTGGGGGGGCCCAGCTGACGGTGGGTCTGGGGAGAGTTTCAGCACCACAGGTGCCCTGCCTCCTACTGCACCCACGCTTCTTCCTGGTCCTGGGTCTGAGCCCAGAGCTCAGTGGGTGGTGACGGGGGGCCTGGGGTGCGTCTGCATGTCCCTGCCCACCACGGGAGATTTGGGGAGCAGGGCTGCCACGCCCTCCATTGCACCTCTGCAGCCCACAGGCCCCAGTGTTGGACTTCAGAGGGCAATGCACGCGGGGCAACCTTGTCCCCAGGGCACGTGGGGCTGGGGGGGAGGTGCCCGAGGGCCCCAGGTTCCAGGAGCCACAGTGTCGGGGCTGCACCCGGTTCCTCAGTTGCGGGACAGCCCGGGCTGGGGCGGGCACGGCTCCCGGGGCCCGGGGTGGCTGCTGAACGTCCAGAACACTCCATGCTGCCCCTTCCTTCCGACCTCCTCTGCCTGTCAGCTTCACGACTGCAGCCCACCTGCCCAACTCAGCCCCTGGGGCAGCTGCCCAGGTCCCAGCTCACCCTCCACGGGCCCGGTGAACTTCCCCGCCTGGCCCAGGAGGCCTGCAGTGTGGACGGCTGCTCCTCCGTTCTCTGAGCCTCTTCGGACCAAAGCATTGGCCCAGTTGACCTCTACCAACCCTCAAGAATTCAGTCCCTGAGGAGAGCTGGGGTGGCCATGTGTCACCCCCCCACCCTGCCCCCGCTGCTGGAGATCAGCCCTGTGGGAGGAGGGAGGGTCCCCAGAGCACCCGCCTCTTTCGCCTGCCCCTACCCCATTATCCACACTCCACCCACGAAGGGTCGGGGCGGGGACGGGGTGCCCAGCTGTTGTTCCCAGCAGCTGCCTCACTCACCAACCCCCCCCCACTGCAGGCCACCTCTCCCAGCCCCAGGCTCTCGGGGGCGGGGCCTGGCCCTCGGGGAGGGGCGCTCTGGGCCCACGCTGCGCTGGCTGATGGCAGCTTGTGTTTCTTGCAGAGCTTGTGCCTGTCACTGGGGGTCCCCGGGCTGGGCAGGCCCCGCACCCTGTACCCCTGGCGCCGAGCCCCCACACTGGGCCGCGTGCGCAGAGCCTGGGTCATCCCTCCCATCAGCGTGTCCGAGAACCACAAGCGCCTGCCCTTCCCCCTGGTGCAGGTGAGGGGCCGCGGGCGGGGCGGGGCGGGGCGGGGAGGGGAGGCCCCTGGCAGAGCAGAGCCTGGCGCGTCCCTGGTGGCCCAGAAGGTGTGAGCTTTAGGACAGGACACCCTTGGGGCCACAGGCGGAGTGACCCCATCCCAGCTGGCCCAGGGGCAAGGGCTGCGGAGAGGACGCGAACCCAGCCCGTGTCCTGCCCCACAGATCAAGTCGGACAAGCAGCAGCCGGGCAGTGTCATCTACAGCATCCAGGGGCCTGGCGTGGACGAGGAGCCCCGGGGCGTCTTCTCCATAGACAAGTTCACAGGGAAGGTGTCCCTGAACGCCGTGCTGGACCGGGAGAAGACAGACCGCTTCCGGGTGGGCCCTCCCCTCCCCTCCCCTCCCCTCCCCTCCCCCTCCCCCTCCCCCTCCCCTCCCTCTGGCCTCTCCCCTCCCCTCCCCTACCTGACTCCCATTCCCCTGGGGGCCGGTGGCCACATGCTCCTCCAGTGAGACCCAGTGTCCTTCCCTTGGGGGGTGGCAGGATTTGGGAGGCGGGTGTTCAGGATCCTATGACCATCTGGCAGAAGAGCTGCCCTGGTTGGGGGGCAGCCAGCAGGGGTGGGCGTCAGCCCTCCCAGGAAAGCACCGCTGGATGCAGGTGGAGCTCCCTTCAGCCACGGCCTGTGCTCCCCTGAGCCTGCTGCGCTTGGTGGGGGTGGTGCTGAAGGGCCCGCAGTGTTGGCCCCAGTCCCAGCAGTAGCTGCCCGGGACTGTCCAGGTGGGACGGAGGGAGGCAGCCTGGGGCCTGCGGCTGGAGGGCTTGGGATTGTGGGGCCAGAGAGAGGGGTAGCAGGGAGGGGAGTAAGAGCTGGGCGAGCAGGAGGCCATGGAGGGGAGCCCGAAGCTCACCTGAGTCCCCACAGAGGGGCCCCCCTGAAATGTTTTGAGCCTGCCCAGGGAGGGGGCTTCAGCCTTGTCCTGTGATGTGCTCTAAATCTTCCTCAGGCTCTAGGAACTAGCTCTTGGTTCCCTTACACAGAGAGTTAGCGTATCTTCCCAGGAAAGGGTGTCATACCCATTCTTCAGAGGGATGAGAGGGGGTTTCATTTAACATTTCACATGTACAGAGAAATAAAATACACTTCAAGAGGAGCCAAAACTGGATACAGAAAAAGGGAGCAAGACCTGAGCACTAGGGAGAACATGATTCACTCGCACTTGAAATGTAGCTGTGAGCTCCCTGGTGGCCACAGCAAGAGAGGAAGTGTGGTGGCCGCCCTGCCTGCTAGGAGGAAGCAGGTGCCTCTTGGTGGGGGGGGCTGTGTCTGCCCAGCACGTGCCCCACCCTTTGCAGCTCCTCACATGTTCCAGTCAGTGTTTCCAGCAGGACACAGAGTCCCTGCTCCCTGTCCCTTTTGCCCTTGTGTGAGCTACCAAAAACTGGGGCCACAGTGCAGCCCTTGTTCTCTGCTTGACCAGCTCAGGGCCTTTGCTCTGGACCTTGGAGGGTCCACCCTGGAGGAGCCCACAGACCTGGAGATTGTGGTTGTGGACCAGAACGACAACAGACCGGTCTTCCGGCAGGAGGTGTTCACTGGCCGCGTGCTGGAGGGCGCTGCACCAGGTGAGGTGGGAGCCCAGTCCCCGCACCCCCTGGTTCCTGGTGGGGGAGGGAGCTTCTGCAGACGTGCACTTGATAGGTCAGAGGTCCAGCATTTCCCTCCAGCAAGAACTTCCCAGGCCTATCCCTAGGTCCGTCAGAGAGTCTGAAAATGGGTAAACAGCCTCCAGGACTGAGGGAATTTGACTCAGGTCACTTCCCCTTTCAATACAAATCTCACCCCCCCATCTTCCAGAATGCAGAGAGGATTTGTGGATGGTGAATCCCCTCCTCCCCTTTCTTCCTTCCCCCTCTTCTCCTCCTTCTAAATTGAGGTGTAATTTATTTAACATACAGTTAACCATTTTAAGATGAACTTCAGCACATTCACAGTGTTGTACACCAACACCTCCCTCTAAAAACCATCTTCATCCCCCAGAAGGAGACCCCGTGCCCATCACCAGACGCTCCCTCTCTGTGCTCAATTCTACATTTAGATTACAAAAAGCTCAAAACCTTCTGTGCCTTAGGAATCGTCACAAGACAGTCTTGCTTGCCTGACTCTGTTCCAGGCAGACATACTCATTCCGGACGGGGACCCTCTGCCCCCTCCCCACCCTGGTCGCAGGGGCCCTGGTCAAATCTCACAGTCTCGTGCCGCAGAGACTTGCCTCTCCTTGGCCATGCGTGTTAATTTTATTTCATCCTATTTTTGTTTTTTAAGACTCAAAATGACAATACTTTTTACTTTTAATTTTTTTATCTTGACATAATTTCAGACTCACAGAAAAGTTGGCAAAAATTCCTGTACACCTTTCACAGAGATACGATGTTTATCACGTTCACGTTAGCCATTTTCCTTTTCCCCCCACCTTCCTCTCTGGACAGCGGGGGTTGCACGCACTGAAGTGACTCCGTGTAACCATCGGAGCCAGGGAGTCAGCGTTGACACGTAGCACCTCATCTAAGACCTTGCTCGGTTTCCCTCGCCCAGTAAGGCCTCTGCAGCAGAGGAGGTCCTGCCTCTGTCCAGTCCCCACCTCTCTTCTGCGAGTTGCCCACCTCCTCCTTTACGGCCCCGACACCCTGAGCACAGTGTCTTCAGTTCTGCTGGGTGGAAGCCCCGGCGTCTGGCTGGCTGTAGGTCTGGTTCTGCTGGCCGTTTGGTGGCTGAGGGTGGGTTATTCCTTTCTCTTGCTCTTCTGTGTGTAAGAACAGGACGGGCTGGGTGGAGACTGGCCGCTGGGAGTGTGGGGTGGCCTGCTGTTGGGAGGCCGGACCGTCTCGTGGGTGGTTGGGCCGCTGCTTTCGTGCAGCTCCCAGGGGCCCCTCCCAGGGCCACTACCCTTGCCCGGCACCTGCTGGGGCTCCCGGGGTACGTGGGGGCGGGAGGTCTCGGTCGTGGGTGTTTCCTGTGCCCCAAGCCTCTGGGGGTCCCTGCTCCTTCCCCAAAGGCAAACCCCTCCCCTGTCCCACCTGCTCAGCAGTCCCGTCTCCACCTGCGGTGTGGACCCTCCGGAGGACCAATGGCTCCTCCCAAATCCAGGCAGACCCCTAGGCCCGAGCTGGGGTGCCCCTCTCTGGTAGTGAGGGCCCGGCTCCCTCACCCCAGGAGTTTGCTCAGTTGCTCATTCACGGAGTGCATGTGATGTGCTTCCGGAATGCTCACCCGCACCCCGGGAAAAGTGCCTGTTCAGAGAGTTCTTGGCTTTCCCCTGGGGTCCAGTATTGTGCCAGGAGTCACCTGGTAGGTGGCTTCTCAGGCTGGGCTGGCGACTTGATTTTCTGCCCATTATCAGACCCCAGTGGGACACCCCGGGGGGCCCGTCAGTGCCCGGGAGGGCTGGGATGAGCCCAGCCACGGGTAAGGGTGCCCAGCTACCGGGGCTGCTCCCCAGGTGGCCCGAGGCCAGTCCACCTCACTGGGTTGACTTTAGTAACCTGAGCGAGGGGTGCCAGGCCTGAATCGCAGCAGAAGGGAACCAGGTGTGGGCACGGGTTCTGAGATTTGGCACCCCGTTACCCCAGGGTACAGGTGCGACCCTGGGTGCTGTGTGTCTCTGCAGGTGGGGCTGAGGGCAGCCCACCCTGTCTCCCCAGGGGCTGGGGTTCAGGGCAGCCCCAGGTCCCCCAGCAGGCTCTCGGCCCCGTCGGGCCATCTGGGTGTCTGGTGGGAGGCCATGTCAGCGTGTGTGTCGCACACCCCGCTTCCGTTCCCACAAGCAGCACGAGTCTGGACGGGGTCCTGGGCCTGGCACCAGTGGGTCACGTGCCCTGGAGTTGGGGGTTGGCACCCACGGGCATTGCCGCACACATCCACGCCCTTCCCAGGCACCTACGTGACCAGAGCTGAGGCCACGGATGCGGATGACCCGGAGACCGACAACGCAGCCCTGCGGTTCTCCATCCTGGAGCAGGGCGGCCCCCAGCTCTTCAGCATTGACCCCTACACGGGGGAGATCCGCACCGTGCAAGTGGGCCTGGACCGCGAGGTGAGGCCCCCGCGGCTCTGCCCTGATAGCTGGCGCAGGGCAGCCAGTGTCCGCCAGGCAGGCCCACGGCGGGGAGGGGGCCCGATCCCATGGCCCTGGGCTCCAGGCAGACCCAGCTTGAGACACCCCTGCCTCCCCCAAAGGCAAACCCCTCCCCCGTCGGTTGAGCGGTTGGATCCAAGATGGTGTGAGAGGCCCTTGGTGTGTTTTCTGCCTAAAACCTCTCCCACCCCATTGCCTGCAACGCAGTTGGGTCCCTGGCCTGGGGTGGGGCCCTCACCTCTTGGATCTGTAGAGAAGAGCTGCCCTCTGGCCGTCCCTGCCTGCTCTTCCTCTGTGGGGTCCCTGTAGCCCTCACTGCTGGCCTTCTGTGTGGCATCAGCTCCTCTGGGAAGCCCTCCTTGGTTTCCCCATGGCCACCTGTGCGCTCCGTCTGGTCAGTGGCTGTGTTAGGTGGTATTTGTCCCCTCCCTCTGCCACTGCACCGGCTTCCCAGGCAGGGACCCAGCATCCCACATGCAGAAGGCGCCCTGTAAGTGCTTACCCGACTTGGCAATTGACCTTTTAACCCCCGCACGGGCTGGGGCAGAGTCTGGGGTCAACAGTTGTTGACTCTGGCCGACCCCAAGAGACCAGGTAGCATGTTTTGTCCCAGACTTTGGGAGCAGGGCAGGTGCTTGGAGCCACCTGGGGCCTTGACGCCAAGGGCTCCCTGCCAGGGCTGAGCTTGCGGTGGCCGGCCTGGCCTGCCAACCAGCCCTGGCCCCGTGCTCCCCTTGGGTCTCTTACCCCTGTCACTGTGCCCCCAGGTGGTCGCCGTGTACAATCTGACCCTGCAGGTGGCAGACATGTCTGGAGAGGGCCTCACCGCCACCGCCTCAGCCCTCATCACACTCGAGGACGTCAATGACAATGCGCCGGAGTTCACGAGGGACGAGGTGCCGCCACTCAGGGCTGCCCTCCCCCGGGGCTCCTGGTTGGGGTGGGGTAGCTGGGGGTCCTGGGGATGGTGCAGGAGCCACAGTCAGAGGCCAGCCGAGGGGGGCACTTGCGAGCCTGTGAACAGTCAGGAGCTGGGGGTCCTGGGGAGAAGCCGCCCGAGGCCCCTCTGCAGCCCCTGGGGCGGGAAACAGACTCCCCAGGCTCTCCCACATGGGAGGGAGCGGCTGGCCCTGCCCTCGAGGGGGGACGGCTCCTCCGAGGGAGCTCCCTCGGGGGCAGTGGACCTGGATGACTCCCCGAGGGTGGGAGCCCGCAGGGCCCCGTGGGTAACATGCTGGCCCCGCAGTTCTTTGTGGAGGCCACCGAGGCCGTCAGCGCAGTGGACGTGGGGCGGCTCGCAGTGGAGGACCGGGACCTGCCAGGCTCCCCGAATTGGGTGGCCAGGTTCACCATCCTGGAGGGCGACCCCGACAGGCAGTTCACCATCCACACAGACCCCAAGACCAACGAGGGCGTGCTGTCTGTGGTGAAGGTGAGTGGGTTACACGCCCTGCCCCCAGCCGGGGTCTCACTGCCACCACCGAGCTGGGGAAGGTGGGTCTCCTCACACCCTTGGACCCCTGTTTGGACCCTCTGCGTCCTCAGGAAGAGCCGAGGAAGGGGATGGAGCCAAGAGGGCCAGGAGCTGGGACTGCAGGCTCGGGCCACGGGCAACAGGGCTGAAAGGGGGCAACCCCACGAGCCTGTGTGTTATTCCCAGCCTTTTCCACCTGACACGTGTGATCACCGTGCACAATTACAGACCCACCATGTCGGCCAGACCTGAAGCCAGAGACAAAACCAGCAGGAGACACGTGTGTACACGTGGACACACACACACAGGCACACACATGCTCACACACAGAGAGATGGAGATTTAGGCTTTGAAACATAAAGAGCTTTATTGCAAGAGCCTGGCCCATGCCAGCCACTGTGAGCCTGGCCGGGCGAGTGTGGAGGCCGAAAGGTTGGGACAGGCTGGAAACCCAGGAGCCTGGAGGCAGTGTTCCTCCTCAGGGAAGTCTCAGCTTTGCTCTTAAAGACTTTCAACCACAGGTGAAACCCACCCAGGCTGTCCGAGGTGATCCTCTTTATTTAAAGTCAGCCGATATAGAGGTTAATTTAACCACATCTACCAAATACCTTCTTCTCAACACCCAGATGGGTGTGTGCTTGAGTCACTGAGGAGGACAGCCTGGCCACGTGATATAAAACTGACCACACAACAAACTCGTTCTGAGTGATGGGCGTGTGTTCGGTCATTTTTGCATGACTCTTTGTGCCTTTCTGTCCTGCTTAACTTTTATTTTTCCAAAGTTTACAAGGAGAAGGGGCGTAGGGGCTCAGAGGATGCACCGGGGTGGCAGCACCACCAGGGGGGCCTCTCCAGCGCCCGCCTGCCTCCTGTGTCCCAGACGCGAGGCACTCCAGGGTCCTGAGCGCTCTGCCCCTCCCCACAGCCCCTGGACTACGAGCGTCGTGAGCGGTATGACCTCAGAGTGGCGGTGCAGAATGAGGCGCCCCTGCAGGCCACTGCCCCCTGGGCCGAGCGGGGCCAGGCCAGGGTCAGCGTGCAGGTACGGGACGTCAACGAGGCGCCCGTGTTCCAGGAAAACCCGCTGCGGACCAGCCTGGCTGAGGGTGCAGCGCCAGGAACCCCTGTGGCCACCTTCTCTGCCCGAGACCCTGACACACAGCAGCTGCAGAGGCTCAGGTAGGGGCCGCAGGCATGAGCAGAGGGAACTGAGTCCCAGGCCTCCATCTCCTGGTCAGGGCAGGAGCACCGCTAAGGGAGCCTGGACCTGTGCCCCGAGGGTTCCCGTGGGGCCCTGGACAAGAGGGTGGAGGACTCATGAGTGTGGGTCACTGAGGGTCCAGGGGCTCTCAAGTACTGTCCTGCATGTGTGTGTTCACGTGACCTGGCTCCCTAGGGCAGGGCTAGGTCCAGCTGGCACACACTGACATGGCCACGGTCTGTGTTGGCCAGCCTCTTAGTGTCTCGCCCTGTCCATTCTGGGGAGCTGTTGCTCCCATGGGAGTGGCTTTAATACCTTGGGTTTTACCCACTGCCTCGGCCCTGTGTGTCCGAGTCGGTCTCCATAGAATGCTGGCTGTCGCTCCATGACCATGGGGCCCTGAGCAGCTCACCCGTCCTCCCTGGGCCTCAGTTTCTTCATCTGTTGATTGGGAAGGAAACACCAGCTTAAGGCTGTCCTCAAAGGCATGTCTGTGTCTACGTGTGACCACACTTCTGGGGTCCCTCCTGGGCCCAGGGCCACCCCACGCCCTCCTTCCCTCCTCCCCAACAGCTACTCCAAGGACTACGACCCTGAGGACTGGCTGCAAGTGGACGGGGCCACCGGCCAGGTCCAGACCCAGCGTGTGCTCAGCCCCGCTTCGCCCTTCCTCAAGGACGGCTGGTACAGGGCCATCATCCTGGCCCAAGACGATGGTGAGCACCGAGCCCGGCCTGGGCTCTCTGGCTCCCTGACTGCAGCTGGGGCCCTGCTGCTGCCTAGGGGCTGAGAGCCTGGCACTCCACTGAACAGACTGACAGTGTGGGTGGGGCTCCATAGGGCTCGGAGCCCACCAGCCTCTCCTGCCTGCAGCCTCCCCACCCAGCACGGCCACTGGCACCCTGTCCATTGAGATCCTGGAGGTCAATGACCACGCCCCTGAGCTGTCCCCACCGTGGGGCAGCCTGTGCAGCGCACCTGACCAGGGCTCTGGTCTTCTCCTGGGGGCCATGGATGAGGACCTGCCCCCCCACGGGGCCCCCTTCCACTTCCAGCTGAGCCCCAGGATCCCAGAGCTGGCTCAGAACTGGAGCCTCAGCCAGGTTAATGGTGAGCCCCCCTACACCCCTAGGGTCGGAGGCCTGGAACCTGGGGCCGAGGTCACTCAATACCGTGGTCCCGCTGCCTCCCTCTGCAGGCCAGGCAGGGGTCAGTCATTACATTCGGTGGGTGGATGGGAAACCCAAGCCCAGCATCTCAGGATCTCCACCCTTCAGGCTGCCAAGTGGCGCGGAGTGGGCTCGCGAGGTGGGTCAGCAGCGGACACAGTACCCCTGCCCCCACAACCGCGCGCTGACCCAGGTGCCCTCCGCAGTTAGCCACGCACGCCTGCGGCTGCGGCACCAGGTCCAAGAGGGGTTGCACCGCCTCAGCCTGCTGCTCCGAGACTCAGGACAGCCGCCCCAGCAGCGCGAGCAGCCCCTGAACGTGACCGTGTGCCGCTGCGGTCCAGACGGCGCCTGCCTACCAGGGTCCGCTGCGCTGCGGGCAGGCGGTGCGGGCCTCAGCCTGGGCGCCCTGGTCATCATGCTGGCCAGCGTCATCCTGCTGCTCTGTGAGTGCCCGCGCCTGCAGACCCCGCCCCCGCGCCCCGCCCCCATGGTCCCTGCCCACCACCGACCTCTGCCCTGTGCCTCTCCACCCAGTGCTCGCCCTGCTGGTGGCCCTCCTGACACGGTTCCGGCAGCAGTCGTGGGACAAGGGGCTCCTGCACGGGCTGCAGGACGACCTCCGGGACAACATCCTCAACTATGATGAGCAGGGGGGCGGGAGAGGACCAGGTGAGGGGCAGGGGAGGGGGACCAAGGGGGAGGGGGCGGGGGAGGGGGGACCCAGGGTGAGGGGGCGGGTAGGGCGGGTTACAGGCACTGAGGT